TGGCCTCTGAGTGATGAATATGCATGCTTTTTGGTGCTTCCTCAAGGCCTGGATAGAGCTGTGATTTCTTAATTTTTTCTCTCCTTTTTTCCCACTCCATAGTCACTGTTTGGCCTTTTTATTAAGGGTGTGAAGATCAGTTCAGATCTCATTGGATAAATTGATTCAATTCAGGTCAGCCATTGATTTGATTTGGGCTTCCAAAATGGATGGTTGAATTCAGCAGATCTGATTTGGATTTGATAGAGAACCTTTCTTTGCACAGAGAGAAGACATCAAAGCCATCTGGATGCTACTAATTTGATTCAACAGTTTCATCCTCCAAATCAATGATCCAATTCAGAAAGTCAAGAGAGTTTGTAAAATATGTATCGAAACAAATCTTCACATGGACTTTTTTTCTTGCTCAGAAACCTTGTCATAATCCAGTGGGATCTCTTTGTCCTCTTGACTCACACGGTCACTTTTATAGGATCCTATATTGCAAGGGTCCCGAACCTTTTTCGGTTGATGGCCCAGTGGGAAAGGGAGGGGCAGGCACTTTATGTGCACATGCGCAAATGTGAACATGGTCACATGTGCACATAGGCCACAAGCATGCACACCACACAAACAGGGCTGCAAGCATGCGTGCGAGGCTCTCAGCAACACTGGCGCCTGTGTAAGGCCTGTGGCTCTGCCACCACATGAGGCTTGCGGCAATGCTACCACCAGCACAAGGATCCCGCCACTGCCCTGATGTGAGGTTTGCACTTGGCCCACAGTGATGCTGCCACTGGCGCAAGGATCGTGCCACTGCCCACGTGCAAGACTGGCAACATGGGCCGCCTGCCACTTGTGGCGCTGCCACAGACTGCAAAATTCATGGCAATGCCTCCACCTGCGTGTGGTGCACCTCCACTCACCTGCCATTTGCAGCGCTGCTGCCGCCCACACAAGCTTTGTGGCAATGCCATGATGATGTGTCCATCGTGGCAATAGTGGCATGAGGGGAGGGGAGCACACGCGCACATGCACTGCCCAGCTACTCACATGGCTCAGTGGCCAGCCCTTAGTTTGGGGACCTCTGCTATATTGGCCTGGCTTATTGTGAGGGGTAGCCAAATAAAAAACCTTGAGAATAAGGATGAAAGCATGCTGGTAGCTGCTTTGCCTTCCCTGTCCCCACACCACATGCTGAGAAGAAGAAAAGAAAGAGAAAATTTGCCTGGAATTTATGAGGGTTGACCTTTTCTTTCATGCCCTCTACCCATCTAATCTGCTTAAAGAAATCTTCCCATCCCCACATCCTTTGTATTACTTTCAAGTGTCATAATTTGTTAGAGTTCTCTCTCTCTCTCTCTCTCTCTCTCTCTCCCTCTCCCTCTCTCTCTCTCTCTCTCCCCCCCCCCAACAAATTCTCTTTAAGAAGAAAAAGTGAGGGAGATGGTATTTCCAACTTTTCATATTTGAAGAACAACAGAGGTGGAGACGTGGATTTGCAGCTGGGCTATTTATTCCCTAAACTGGACCCTTACAGTATTTTTTTTTTCTTCAAAAAATGCATCTTCCACTCTTATCAAAAACATTCTGCTCTGGCAGAGGGATGGGAGGCCTGCTTGAAACCAAGGACCCTTATTGTATAGTTTAGAGCAAGTTAGAAGTAAACAAGTGAGGTCAACTGTGACTAGATGGGCTCATCTTGAAAAACTATTCCAATGTCCTTGGCCCTGAATAAAAGAGGAGAGAAAGGAGTGAATTAAAGCTGCACGCATCCACAAGTAGTTCCTCATCTCTCTTCCTCCTACTCTCTTACTATTCAACTATGTTGTTGTCCATTCTCTTTTCTCCCTCTAATGGTGCATTGTTGTTGTTGTTAATTGCGAAGTCGTGTCTGACCCATCGCGACCCCATGGACAACGTTCCTCCAGGTCTTCCTGTCCTCTACCATCTTCTGGAGTCCATTTCCATTAGCAATCTAGTTTGGTGTAGAAGCCACAACTTTGCACATATGCAATTGTACTGGTTTTTCAGGTATAACTGAGAGCCAGTTTAAGGTAAGGGTTAAGGTGCTGACCTAGAAATCAGGGGGCTGTGAGTTCTAGTCCCATTTTAGGCATGAAAGCTGGTTGGGTGACTTTGGGCCAATTATTCTCCCAGCACAATCCACCTCAAAGGTTGTGAGGAAAATAGGAGGAGGAAGGTATATTATGTAAGTTTGCAACCTTGAGTTTGTTGTTGTTAGTTGCAAAGTTGTGTCCGACTCATCGTGACCCCATGGACAACATTCCTCCAGGCCTTCCTGTCCTCTGCCATCTTCTGGAGTCCATTTAAGCTCAGGCCTACTGCTTCAGTGACTCCATCCAGCCACCTCCTTCTCTGTCGTCCCCTTCTTCTCTTGCCCTCAATCTTATCAAGTAATAAATGTGGGATAAAAACTGAATAAGAAAGAAAGGAAGAAAGAAAGAAAGAAAGAAAGAAAGAAAGGAAAGAAGGAAAGAAAGAAAGAAAGAAAGAAAGAAAGAAAGAAAGAAAGAAAGAAAGAAAGAAAGAAAGAAAGAAAGAAAAAGATTCATTGCAGGATATTCCAAATCTAATTTCTTCAGAAAGCTGCTTCCTTATCCACTCTAGCTGATGGTAAGACCTCAAGAAGTGAACAACAAAACAGAAACACACATCAATAGCTCTCAAAAACTTTCTGAGGAATGTTGTTGACCTGACAGTTTTATACATGCATTTTACATAAGGTTCTCAAAACATTTATATAGTTTTCACATTAGGTATCCTTTTATGACAGATACATTTTGAACTATTTATATTCCTCAAGACATGCCTACATCACAGGTATCACATCACAGCTTTTAGAAATGGAACTGAAGCAATGTTGAAAAAAAGCGAAGTTTAGATTTTTTTTTTAGTTAGATGACAAGAAGGAACACTCCATAGTAGAGGTACTTTGGTGTATATGTGTGGGTATAAATGTTCTCTAATGTCCTATTTATTTCTCTGTACACAAAGAACCTATCTGTAAATAAACAGGTGTTAAAAATTCAACGCAAAAAAGGTGGCCATGGAACTAAAGAACTGTAGAATAGCAATCACATGATTCTTATTGGCTATTAACTTCATCTTGCTTTTTTATTTTGGATAGAATCAATGTTGATCAAACTGACATAAGTATAAAACACTGAATTAAGATTAAACATATAACTCAAACAATACATTTTCTAAAGAGTGGGGGAATCAATTATGTTTTCTTTGCTACTATGCCTGAATGTTCTATATAGTTGGTGTCCATAGACAATATTTTTTTTTTCTTTATTTGCTGTACTTCTGACCACACTTATCTTCTTTAAAGACAGGCAGTTATGCACTTAATAATGAGCCATTTGTATGTTTAGATAAATATAGGTGTAGAGAATCTCAAGTCAAGTGTAAATAGGCCATCCATTGATCTTTTAGAACACCTGTGGTTGGAGAATTAAATGACATGGATGAGCAGAATCTGACAGAGCAAGCTGGATCTAAAAATTGCTAGTTTGGGCTATCTGTAATATAAACCCAGTTCAATTGTTGTTTTGTTTCATAATATTTAAAAAAAATGGAAGTCTTTGATTTAAGTCACTTGTGATCAATGTAAGAGAACCCTGGTGTTTTGCAATTGGATTCTAACAGTCAATACACAGCAGGGATATCGATTCTGCTAACTTCACATGAAAACATATTTTCCAAACACTAACCTAAAACAAAATTTGATCTGTTTCATTGACAGATCAGAGAGCAAAGTGAGATATATTTTTTTTAATTTTGCCTTTCTTTTTCATGTATCTTCAAATACTTTGGGTGTTCAAGAAAACAGTAGAATTTCAGCAACTCTGAATCATGATCCCAAAATTGGTTTGGTAGACCTTTGGGGGGGGGCTTGCCTAAAATAAAATATTATATAATATAAAACTTAGCTCAAAAAAGAAGATATGAAAGATAATAACATTGTGAGCAACACACGATAATCAAATCACTTTTTTTTTTGCTGAATTTAAATTGCAATCCCAACTAAGTCACATTCATCTCTTAATACTTTCTTGATGCCTTAATTTGGGGGTTTTCTGCAGAGGTTATTGTACTATAGTGACAATGGTTGAGCTGTGTTTATAGTAAGTTCTTCAGTCTACATAAAGGAAACATGAGACTAGACTCTTAGAGTGCACTGATCACAATGGGAAAGGAGCATGGATGATAAAAAAAATGAAATATATTTTCAAGTCATCAAGCTGGGAGAGATATATTATAGTCCTCAAAAGCTTCAAAGTCCAAGTTGGCAATAAGCCTTGTGTAGTGTGGATTGTACCCTTCCATCACAGTCTGTTTACGTGTTACCGGTTTCAACTTTATGTTTCCATACTCAACATTTTCTAGTCTGCATAGCAACTACTGCAGAGGTTGGCAGGTGTAACATGTGGAAAATACTAGGCTGGTGTGCATGTGTTCATGTATGTATGAGATGTGGCCGTGATGCATTAGGTTGTCATGGTACCCTGCTAGGTAGCAGCTGTGGTGGCAAGGCATCCAACTGATGAGAGTGGTTGGCATGGCAACCTCAAGGGGCCTGTCTTTATTCTGCCCATACTTAAAGGTTGGAGTGGGGAAGGTCTTTCTTGGAGTGATTATCCAAGGACCACGTCTCTGGGTTTGTCTATTGCCCTGAAGCACATGATGAAGCCCATCTTCAGCCACTGAGGTGCCTTCTGGAGGAGAGGGCGGCTCCTTAGATGCCAGGAGCCCTCTTCCCTCCTAAGAAGCGGGTTGCCATGGCGCCAAATTCAACGAAGATGCGGTTGCCATGACAGCGATGCAGAAGGCGAGATGGAGGGAACCAACGCGCGTCGCGGCCTCCAGACGCCAGGGGACGCTGCCCGGTGCAGAAGAGACGGAAGCGTAATAAGCCGTAACGCGGACTGGTCACTCTATCATTCCCGTCCTTTACTCTATGGCATCTGTGCGAATTTCGGGCTTCGGAGTGGCGCGGCCGGTCGGCTGCAGCGGACTCGTTGGTGGGGTTAGACCCGCCTCCTCTGGCGGAAAGATGGCGGCGGCCAGCGCTGTCGACTGAACTGTGGAAGTTCGCCCCATGAGGAGCGAGTTGGAGCGGAAAGTATCGAGGTGGGGTTTTCTCTTGCCGCATCCTCCCGGGATACGCGTGGAAGCGCTGGCCCCGTTGTGTGGGGAGGGGGAATCACGCTTCTCCAGGCGTGGAGAAGCGTGTCTTTAAGAAGAGGGTGGACAGCCACTTGTCTGAAATGGTATAGGGTCTCCTGCTTGAGCAGGGGGCTGGACTAGAAGACCTCCAAGGTCCCTTCCAAGTCTGTTATTCTGCCAAGAGACTGGGCAGCCCCTTGTCTGATGTGGTATAGAGTCTCCTGCTTGAGCAGGGGGCTGGACTAGAAGACCTCCAAGGTCCCTTCCGGCTCTGTCCTGATTAAATTGATTGAAGATAGGGATGGATGGATGGATGGCTGTTGTGGGTGCTTCATCACTGGAGGCTTGAGCAGGGGGCTGGACTAGAAGACCTCCGAGGTCCCTTCCAAGTCTGTTATTCTGGCAAGAGACTGGGCAGCCCCTTGTCTGATGTGGTATAGGGTCTCCTGCTTGAGCAGGGGGCTGGACTAGAAGACCTCCAAGGTCCCTTTCAAGTCTGCTATTCTGCCAAGAGACTGGGCAGCCCCTTGTCTGATATGGTATAGAGTCTCCTGCTTGAGCAGGGGGCTGGACTAGAAGACCTCCAAGGTCCCTTCCAAGTCTGTTATTCTGCCAAGAGACTGGGCAGCCTCTTGTCTGATATGGTATGGGGTCTCCTGCTTGAGCAGGGGGCTGGACTAGAAGACTCTGAGGTCTCTTCCAGCTCTGTTCTGATTCTGGTTCTGGTTCGCTGTAGCCAAAGGGCTGCTCCTGCCTCTTTCACCTGTCCTTCAGGGAAAAGGGGCTTCAGCTGCCTCTTTTGGGCTCTTTCTTAAGACAACAAACTGGACAAATGTCGATTAAAGCCAATCCCCGAATGTCAGCATCTTGCGAGCCACAAATGTATTTCTTTCCTTATATATCAAACTTCTTAAACCACCCATCTCACTCATAGAAGTGCTCTGGGAGGTGTACAATTTAATTGATATAATAAAACATTTAAACCCAAAGAATTTAGGATTACTTTTTTTTAAAAAAAATGTAAAACAAAGTGATTGAAATGTCTTCCTAATCATTAAAATAACTGAAGGATGCCATGAACCCAAAGGACTTGTGGGAGTTGGCTTTTGTGGTCCTTAATTTCTCAGACCCAGTGGCCATGACATTTATATTTCTTCACCCTCATTTATATTTCTCTCAAGTGGGGGAATTCCCCTTAGTGGATTAGCTAGTTCTTTGTTAGTGGAACTGCCCACCTCTATAGGTGGCTACCTCTCTAAATTTCCTTCTTTCCACTTAGGTGGCATGAAGTCTGCAGAAAGGGGGAGTGCTGGCTGATTATTATTTTGTTTCTATCATTAAATTTGTCATTTGGATACGTTTGCCATCTTCAGTTACGTGCAAAAATAATATAGGCGGGATACAAATTAAATGAATACATTTATTTGCCACCTGTCTCGCACTTCGAGGTGACTATGAGCGGCTTACCAATGTGAAAAAAATGTATTAGGTGAGGAGTGAAGACCTTTGAATACAATGAATTCAAGAATGCCATTTATTTATCAAGCTTGTATCCTGCCTTGCTTCCAGGAGGTTAAAATGGCACAGACATTGCTTCCTCCTCCAGTTTTCCCTGCAACAATTACCCTGTGAGTAAAGTTGTGCTAAAAAAGAATAACTGGCCCAAAGTCACTCAGTGAGTTTCTGTGCTTGAGGGTGGACTTGGACCTCCATCTTTTTGCCTCATTAGCTTTACTTACCTACTTGCCTAAGAAATTCTCTTAGGCCAGATCAGCTCCGTATGGTCTACCCTGACTTAAAGCAGACTTTCAGACAAGGTTCAGAAATAGTCCAAATGTAAGATATGTATTCCACCACTGAGTTGTGACTGTTTCACATGTGCTTAAGAAAGAAAGGGGGAAAAGAAAAGAACAAGAAACAAACTAATAACATTCAGCTTAAAGTCAGCTGAGATGTACTGCATTCTGCCCCAAATTTAGAAATACTAGGTAGAATGGTTGGGCTTGGATTTAAACTTGTGTTCAGATTCGATTTCAGTCCTATCTACCTCACTTTGTTACAAAGGAAAAACAAATACAGGAAAAGCATCCTTAAAAGAAAGATGGAAATCAATGCTATTGCAGAGGCATTGCTACTATCTAAACCCACTCATTCTTGTATCAGATTAGATCATATTTCATAAGAGATTGAGTCAGTAGTTTGAACTGCTCTTTCTAATGGCCTTCTTGAATATATCATTGGTACTTCAAGTGGAATGGAATACTGGAATACTCCCCCCCAGTTCTCAGTTATTAGCTCTTCTGAGCAATTTATAATTTACATTAAATATTGCCTTGTTTCATTTGGGAAACAAATTCCTAAATTGTAAAGTATTTCCTTAATTGTTTAAGTGTGATATTTTAAGCTCAGTTCATGTGATAGTCATTCTGGAAAACAATACAAAGTATTGGAGAATCTTGTAGCAGCTTAAAAATAGCAATTTTTTTTGTATTTGTGTGTGTGCGTGGGGCAGAAACCAGACGCTAATTCATACTGCCATCACAGATTTGAATTGCTTTCCTTTTATAAGAACACTAATGTGTTTCATCTTAACTAATAATAATAATAATAATAATAATAATAGTAATAGTTCCTAAATAAGGTCGCTATTAGTCAATTGCAAAAGGCGGCCTTATTAGGAACTGCTTCCATCCTGCGACGATATCTGTAATACCATCAAACATCCACATCTGCCTATCCCAGGTCCTGGGTAAGGACTCGATAGGTAGACAAAATGCCAAATCCAGTCTGAACATCTGGCTGACTGTGCGATGATCCATAATAATAGTAATAGTAATAGTAATGGTGATAAAGTTGGAAGATACCTTGGAGGTCATCTAGTCCAAACCCCTGGTCAGGCAGGAAATCCTATACCATTTTGGACAAATGGCTGTCCAGTTTCTTCTTAAAAACCTCCAGTGTTGGAGCATTCACCACTTCTGGAGGCAGGTAGTTCCACTGGTTAATTGTTCTAACTGTCAGGAAGTTTCTCCTTAGTTCTAGGTTGCTTCTCTCCTTGATCAGTTTCCATCCATTGCTTCTTGTCCTGCCTTTAGGCACTTTGGAGAATAGCTTGACTCCCTCTTCTTTGTGGGATTTAAGACTAGATGTGGGTTTAAGACCGACGTCTCTTTTTCTTGAATGTCTCCCTTCTCTTCTACAGTTTTATCATCACCGCCTCCAAATGTTCCATTGCTGGACAACATGATTTGCCCCGTGTCTTCCTCAGAGCTCAGTATTCCTGGTATGTTCCCTGTTGGAAGAAATTAGGATGGAACATGACAACCCGACCATCAGACCTCGTCGGATCCAGAACCAGAACGTCATTTACCGTTTAGAACGTCGAAGGATCACCTCTGGCAAAATTGGGACACACTGGCACCAGGTCCGCATTTTTCACCAGAACATTTTCCCCAATTTTACCGTGGTCAACATTGAGAAGCCGCCCTGCTTCTTGCGAAAGTTTTCCCCCGATGGAAGGTACTTCATTGCTTTCTCCTCAGATCAGACGTCTTTGGAGATTTATGAATATCAGGGATGTCAAGCGGCAGAGGATCTCCTCCAGGGTTATGACGGAGAGATCTTGGCCAATGGCAACGATCAGAGGTCCATCAACCTCCGCGGGCGGCTCTTTGAGCGGTTCTTTGTCCTTCTTCATATCACCAACGTGGCCTCCAATGGGGAGCACTTGAACCGTGAATGTAGCTTGTTTACAGACGATTGTCGATACGTCATTGTTGGCTCTGCTGCCTACCTGCCCGAGGAGCCCCATCCGCCATTTTTCGAGGTTTACCGCAACAGTGAATCGGTGACGCCTAACCCCAGGTCTCCTTTGGAAGACTATTCTTTGCACATTATAGACCTTCACACTGGTCGGCTGTGTGACACCCGGACCTTCAAATGCGACAAAGTCATCTTATCCCACAACCAAGGCCTCTACCTATATAAGAATATCTTGGCTATTCTCTCCGTGCAGCAGCAAACGATTCACGTCTTTCAGGTAACCGCCGAAGGTACCTTCATTGATGTACGAACTATAGGGCGCTTTTGTTACGAGGATGACCTTCTCATGCTCTCGGCTGTCTACCCAGAGATCCAGCGGGATTCACAGACAGGGATGGCCAATCCCTACAAAGAGCCGTTCATCAATTCTCTGAAACACAGGCTGTTGGTCTATTTGTGGCGAAGGGCAGAACAAGACGGACGCGCCATGGCTAAGAGGAGGTTCTTTCAATATTTTGACCAGCTGAGACAGCTCCGCATGTGGAAGATGCAACTGTTGGATGAGAATCATCTTTTCATCAAATACACAAGTGAGGACGTAGTCACACTGCGAGTGACGGATCCTTCACAGGTAGGAATATAGTGATTTTATGGCGTGGGTTTTTTTTTTTTTTTTTTTTTTGGTCTGGTTGTACGTTGTACACGAGTCCATCTGATTGAGCGGTATGCGAAGATGGTAATAAATAAAATAATTTTCAAACTTAGTAGCCACTATTAGTCCTGTCTCCCACAGTTCTATCCAGTTTCCTTTCAAAACCATCGTTGCCTCATTGGATAGCAGAAACAAGTCTACAGTTTTTGTCTGTTGAACAAATAATTGTTTACAATTATTGTTTCTGGACCTCTCCACATTTATGAAGGACTACAAATTTTAAAGTAGGAGAGAAAGAAAAAGTCTTATCCACATTTTTGCATGTATATATTGTTTCTCTTCCTGCCAGAGAAACAATATATACTGTCTAAAAACCCTTCCAGTCTGTAATCTTTTTTTCCACAGGAAACTAATCTAGCCTGTTCATTGTTTTATTTTGCACCTTTTGTGCTTTGCCATTTCTCTTTAAATTAATGTGTTGATCAAAACTGTATGCATTGTTTAAACTAGGCTTTTGCGCATGCGAGCATGCTCTCACACACTATTGTAATAAAGTGTGTTTTATTTTCAGTTATGTTCCAACATAGATATATATTACTATAGTGATTGTTTTATTTTCATTATCTTCCACACGATTCCTAGCCCAGGTTTTGCCTTTCTATAGGGTTGACTTTTCCACTGAAGTACGATATTTACTATGGGTACAAAATCCTTTTCCTGATCAGTCCAGCTCAGATCTCATTGCTATAAATTTTGGTTGTCCAGAGTAAAAAACAATAACCCCGAGTCTAATATGGTTTGGATTCTTGAAACATGCATACAGGCATGCATCTCCCATAGAGCAAGAGATGTAATTTGCCAGGAGATCTTCTTACCATGCCTATAGGGACTAAGGCAAACAATGCTCCACCAAAGGACCAATACATTTTAGTCTTCTAAAGAAAGAAAACCTGATTGATAGGACTTCGTGAAGGCTTCATAAGATGATTGCAAGAATGCAGAAAGAACCTGACAATCAAATGGGGGACGGGGAGGAAATGAACGGTGCTGGATAGATTAACCCCAGTTTTAAAGAAACGATGGAGAAACATAACCTTAATTTTTCTTACAGTTTTATTAGCAGGTGTGTAACATTGACAACAATGTAAACTATAGCTTCTTTTAAAGAAGAAGAAAAAGATTCTCAAGAGGCAGCGTTCCAAAAACTTAAGTTACAAGTCTCTAGAGATGCAGAAATGTAATCAAGATTTTGGCTTCGTCTGCAACCTATTTTCCTAAGGAAAAAATTCTTTATCACTGCTTAGGTGACTCTGTAAAATCAAAACATACCTTTTCACCATTCTTAGATAAGAATGCCAGTAATTCAAAAGGAATAGTTAATGGCACTCATCCTTTTTATTCCAAACCAGCAGGCGATCCCAAACAGCGCAGTGTTTACAGGCGGCAGCAGAGCGCAGAATGCCATTTCAATGACTCATCTCGGCACGTTAGAAATATTAAGACAGCAGAAGAAAATTACTGCCCCCCCCAACCCCTTCCCAAACAAGTCCTACAACTCTCACCTTTCTGCATATACCGAAGGAATAATCAGCTGCCAGCTCACACCTGACTGGGGGGGAAAAAAATGAAAGGGAAAAAAAACAACCCATTTTCCAGCAGGAACTGAAATTAAATCTTCTTCGCTGCGAAGAAAAGCAAAATCAAGCTCTGTCCAGATGGAAAGAAACAAAGCCAGCCTTGGAGGAATTTCACCTGGCTTTGTAAAACGATTTGACAGTGGTTAATCGCCAAGTTAAATTTGCTCTCCTTTCAGACGATGGCAAACGCAAGGGATTAGTGACCTTGGCAGGGTGCTTCCTGGGCCCAGCCACAAAACAAACATCTCTTTTTGGTTGCTGGGGCAGGGGTTTTGGGAGTTGGTTCGTGCACCTGGTCGCTGCCTCTTCTACCCACCTGGCCTCCATTTCTGCTTCCTCCTTCCAGCCTTCCTTTTTTGTGGTGTACAATATGGTGACTACCGAAGTGATCGCTGTCTTTGAGAACACGTCCGATGAGCTGCTGGAACTCTTTGAGAACTTCTGTGACCTCTTCCGTAACGCCACTCTCCACAGCGAGGCCGTTCAGTTCCCTTGCTCGGCCTCAAGCAACAATTTTGCCAGGCAGATCCAGCGCCGGTGAGCCTCATGCTTTTCTGTTACCCCACCCCCCCTCGCCCCCCGCGAGGGGTTCTACAAAACCAGCAAAATGGAAGGGGCTGAAGCTAAACGTCAGGTTCAGCTTCCCCCAAATGAACTGGATCTGTCCTCATGTCTTCAGGTAAATGTATCTGAAGGGTGTCCCAGCCTTTGGGTAGCTGAGTCTTATTTATTATTTACTTTATTGGACAAGTGCTGGTCTGAAGTGGGATAGGATAATAGGGTAGGATAGGATAGAATAAGCAATAGGATATAGAATAGAATAGAATAGAATAGAATAGAATAGAATAGAATAGAATAGAATAGAATAGAATAGAGCTGGAAAAGACCTTGGAGGTCATCTAGTCCAGCCCCCTGTTCAGGCATGAAACCCTATACCATTTCAGACAAATGGTTGTTCAGTCTCTTCTTAAAAACTTGTTGGAGCATTCACAACTTCTGAAGGCAAGCCATTGCACTGGTTAATAGTTCTAGCTGTCAGGAAGTTTCTCCTTAGTTCCAGGTTGCTTCTCTCCTTGATCAGTTTCCACCCGTTGCTTCTCGTCCTGCCTTCAGGCACTTTGGAGAATAGCTTGACTCCCTCTTTGGGGCAGCCCTTGAGATACTGGAACACTGCTCTCATGTCCCCCCCTCGTCCTTCTCTTCATTAAACTAGACATACCCAATTCCAGCAGCCGTTCCTTATATGTTTTAGCCTCCAGTCCCCTAACATATTTCTCTCAAAGAGAAACCAAAGATTTGTCACAGTTAAACTTCAGTCCTTTTCTGAACTCACGATTCTTATTTGTCTGATTTCCTCCCCCCACAAAGCTAACTTATAGTACCAGGTGGGTGGAAGGGAGGAGATGTGTTTTGCATGTTGTTTCTTTCAGCTTTATAGCCCTCACCTTGTCTGCTTCAGTTTCAAGGACACCATTGTGAATGCAAAGTACGGGGGACACACAGAGGCTGTGCGACGGCTCTTGGGTCAGCTTCCAATCAGCGCACAATCATACAGTGGCAGCCCTTACCTTGACCTCTCTCTCTTCAGCTATGATGACAAATGGGTTTCGGTCATGGAACGTCCCAAAACATGTGGTGACCACCCAATCAGGTACGCACGATGCCTCGATTTCCATCGTTAACGTTAGAAAGAACAAGTCGTTGCACGTCGTTGGCTTCCCAGTTCGATAGGAGACAGGTAATCATAAGGTTTACGTCTCATTAATTGGGGAATTAATAGGGTGCTTGGCTTGATCCACCATAGGCTGCAGGTAGTCCTGAAATGACCACAGTGGAGCCCCAAATTTATGTTGCTAAGTGAGGAATTTGTCGGGTGAGTTTTGCCCCATTTTGCGACGGTTCTGGCCACACTTGTTAAATGAACCATGGCAGTCGTTAAGTTAGTCCCACGCTGGTTAAGTGAATCCGGCTTCCCCATTTTACTCGGCTTGTCAGAAAGTTGCAAAAGGGGAAATCCCGTGTGCCCGGGACACGTCAACCGTCGCAAATATGAGTCAGTGGCCAAAGTGTCTGAATTTTGATTCCTGTGACCGTGGGGATGCTGCAGCAGCCGTAAGTGTGAAAAACGATCGTGCAGAAGCCTTTTTTTTTCAATGCCCTCGTAACTTCAAACAGTCACTAAACAAACTGCTGTACGTCGAGGACTACCTGTATTCTTACGTTTAATTTAGTGTGGTTTTATTCAGCTCTTTGGTCAAAAAAAAAAAGGCTGCCAAATTTGTTTACCAATGGCCAAAGTGAGATGGGTCTTCTTGAGCTTCCAGATCCAAACATCCTCCCGTAGCGAAGGTTGGTGAGGAAGGAAAAGACAATAGATTCCAATGCCTTCCCTCCCTCCCACCCCACTCCCCCACCCCCGTTACAGTTGTCTGGTTGAAAGTGAAGCTGCGTAGCGAGTCAACCGTGACATTTGGCTTGACTGAAGAATTCTGGGAGTTGAAGTCCGCAAGTCTTAACGTTGCCAAGGTTGGAGACCCCTAGTCTAGAGCAGGGATGGCGAACCTTTTAGAGACCGAGTGCCCAAACTGCAACCCAAAAACCACTTATGCATTGTTGGGTGCCGGGTGGGTGTGGCCCATTGGGTGGGTGTGGCCCATTGGGTGGCCGTGGCTACAGTGGTAACGACAGACTGGGTGGGACTAAAAAGTTCAATCAAATCGATTCCAACTTTGCGAGATCTTTTTTTTCCCGCGAGAAGTTGAAATTGACTGATTGAACCTTTTTTCTTTTTTGCACACAGCGGTGGAGGCCTAAAGTGAAAATCTTTTATAAAACCCAGCTGAAGGTCTAGGACTGGGCTGACAGTGTGCGTGCCCACAGAGAGGGCTCTGAGTGCCTCCTTTGGCACCTGTGCCGTAGGTTCGCCACCACTGGTCTAGAGTCTTCCTCCCTTCCGATCTGCTTTCAACAGCTGCCGCTGTGGTTTTTCCTACCTGACGGAAGTTTATCCCCCCTCTTCTAGTTCAGAGGTCCCCAACTTTGGGGCACCAGGGACCGATTGCGTGGAGAGAGGTTTTTCCACGTACCGGAGGGTGCCTGGTTTTGTGTACTGCCTGCATCCTACGGATGGGGGCTTTGCTTGTTTGTGCGGACCGGTTGCTGGCATGCCGCAGCCCAATACCGGTTCACGGACCGGGGGTTGGGGACCCCTGTTCTAGTTCCCAGTTCTGTCGGTTCCTCATGAACTGCTCAAATGCCAATTCTCAACCCTTGTGGCACCCAACAAATGAGCTAATTGGATGGTCTCCTTTAGGCCTTTCTTTATTGACATGCTTGAGTTCCAGCACAGTTCTCCCATCCCCGAGGATGTTGGCCTTCTGCCTTTTTGCCACGCTTGGCTTAGTTTTGAGTTCTTCTTCCCTTTTTACGCCGGGCGCCAACTGCTAAAATAGCACCTCTCGTGCCGGGCTGGACGGAAGATGGCACACGCTCCCCACCCACCTTAAACCCACGGCCAGGAGATTTCTTAGCTGGGCCATTAGGATGAGCTGTTGACAGTTGAAGGGCCAAGACTTCAGTAGCCTGAAAAATGTCATGGGAAGCCTTTGGGGAGGAGGGTTTTAGAAGCCAAACAGTACGGCAGGTAAAGCGTTCCCATTTTTATAACAATTGGCCCCCCAGGGAGAAGTGCTCTCCATTACCATTCTTATTGGCAGGCGTCTTGCATTTCGGTATCTTTAATTTTTTTTTTTCTGCTGCCTGCAAGGCAGTGCAAATGGCCTCTTGATTGCAGAGCACTTTTCAAAAAAAAAAAAAAATAGATTTTAAAAAATTACGAGACAGAGCCCTATCTTGGGAGATTACAGGGCACTTTTCTTGAGTAGGGCAAATTGCCCTGAATTAGAATGGGAGGCAGAAAAACTCATGGAACGAAGTTTGCTCCCCTTCCCTTTTTGTGTGTGTGTGTTTGTTTTTGTCCCCCCACCCCATTCTCCTACCAGCTTCACTTCCTGGAGAGAAAGGATCCATTTAGAAAGCCAGGCTAGCCAGCTTGTTGCTCCTTCCCCCCCCCCTTTTTTTGTCTCTGAATTTGTCAGGCCAGCCGGAGGCTTTTAGGAGCAGAATATAAATAATGACTGTTTAGAAAGAATGTGCATGGATGAATGCAGCAGGCCACATTATGAAACCTGGAGGGTATATACTTATCGTGAGAGCACCCTCTTTCCCACCCTGTCTGCCTGCAGCTGAATAGTGTGTATATTTTGAGGGAAGGGGAGGTGTGGAACCTGCGCATTAAGGGCTTGAGCAGAGAGGAGGATGCTGTGAAAATACTCACCTGCAAAAAAAAAAAGAGAGAAGCAACCACGGGTCAGCCTGTCTCTCTTATCTCCGCTTTATGAAGCTGTATTTTTTTTAAAACCCAATTCCTCGTGGCGTCCTTCTCGTGCTGAGCTCTCCTGCAAGGGTCTAGCTGAATATTTGCTGTCGGAAGCCAAGGTTTGACAGCTTCCAAGCGCAGACTCGATTTGTATAGGACTGAGCTGGAGAGTGGACAGTTCCTTTGGCCTTGAGGTTCTCTCTGCTTCACTTGACTTTATTTTTTCCCTTAGTCCAACATCGCTCACAGTCCTCTTATCGGGGGAGGGAATTTTAAATACGCTGCCTGGAGCTGCTAGAGGAAAGGCAGAATCTGAGGAACAATTGATAGTAATGTACTTAAATTCCATCCCCAGCTCGTCTGCTAAAAAGGCAAACTTTTTCTTTTTTAATTGCAACTTTTTAAATAGAGGTGTTTGAATGGTCTTGTCCCCTTCCCTGTTTTATGTCTTTACCTTGGTCAAAATAGCATGGTGTCTTTCTTTGCTTACTGAATTACACGAGGTTGATGTTTATTTAGTTCCATGTGCCTAAAGACTGGCCATCCAGCATCTTCTCTCTTTCTCTCTCTCTCTCTTTTCTTTCTTTCTTTCTCTCTCTCTCTCTCCCTCCCTCTTTTCTTTCTCTCTCTCCCTCTTTCCCTCCCTCCCTCTCTCCATCCCTCCCTCCTTCCCTCTTTCTCCCTCACTCTTTCTCTCTCCCTCTCTCCCTCCCTCTATCTCTTTCCCTCCCTCTCTCCATCCCTCCTTCCCTCTTTCTCCCTCACTCTTTCTCCTTCCCTCTCTCCCTCCCTCTCTTTCTTTCCCTCCCCCTCTCTTTTCTTTCCCTCCCTCCCTCCATCTCTCTCCCCCACTCTCCCTCCCTCCCACCCTCCCTTTCTCTCTCTTCCTCCCTCCCTCTCTTTTCTTTCCTTCCCTCCCTCTCTCTCTCCCGCCTTCCCTCCCTTCTCTCTCTCTCTCTCTCTCTCTCTCTCTCTCTCTCTCTCTCTCTCTTTCTCTCTCTCTCTCTTTCTTTTCCCATTCACAGATTTTATGCCCGAGATTCTGGTCTGCTGAAGTTTGAAATCCAAGCGGGACTTCTGGGTCGACCCATCAACCATACTGTCCGGCGCCTAGTGGCATTTACCTTCCACCCTTTTGAACCCTTTGCTATCTCTGTGCAGCGGACTAACGCAGAATACGTTGTCAACTTCCACATGAGGCATAGCTGCACGTAGTTTTGCTCCGCTGTGGACACTGAATAGAGACATTTTATTTTTTTTCATGGATACCCCAAAGCCAAAGTCAGGCTGAAGGAAACCAAAACACTAAGCCTCTTTGGAGGGATGGTGTTTCAGCCCTGTGATGTTTGAATCTCACGGGAACGATGGTGCTGATGAATCCATAGCCGTCTCAGAGTTCTTTTTTCTCAGGTGTTAGTCATTCTATCATTCAGCACAAACCAAACAGATTATTTTTTAAAGTTCTCTGCTCTGATACTTGACTTGTTACTACGTCTGTTCCTCCTCCTGCCTTTTAGTGGGGTGGGGTGGGGTGGGAGCTTCAGCTGAATAACCAACAGGAAACCCATTGGTAGCAAAGCATTTATTATTTTCCCCTCTCTTGTAATAGAGCAGTGATGGCGAACCTTGTAGAGACCAAGTGCCCAAACTGCAACCCAAAACCCACTTATGCATCGTTGAGTGCTGGGTGGGTGTGGCCCATTGGCTGGGCATGGCCAATTGGGTGGGCGTGGCTGCAGTGGTAACGGCAGACTGGGTGGGACTAAAAAGTTCAATCAGTCAATTCCAACTTTGCAAGATCTTTTTTTTCCTGCAAGTTGAAATTGACTGATTGAATCTTTTTTTTTTTTTTTTTGCACATGGCGCCGGAGGCCTAAAGTGAAAAGGTTTTATAAAACCCAGCTGAAGGCCTAGGACTGGGTGACGGCACGCGTGCCCACAGAGAGGGCTCTTCTCTGCCTTTAATCGACTCGCAGCCAGGTTGAAGGATGGGCCCGTTTTAGGTACGTATCTTAACATTCCTCTTTACTTAAATTCGGTGCCAGTGCTACTCTCTCTCTAGGCCAGGGGTAGGCAACCTTGGACTTCAACTCCCAGAATTCAACTCCCAGTATTCTTCAGCCAGCATGGGGGAACTATGGCCCCTTCATGACTCATGGACTTCAACTCCCAGAATTCCTGAGCCAGCGTGGCTCAGCTTGGAAACCTCTCCCTTTCCCTTCAGCATGGCTGGCTCAGGAATTCTGGGAGTTGAAGTCCACGAGACACAAAAG